GGGGACCTAATTCTTGCATTCTGTGAAAACGGGTAAGATTAGCTATAATGTAATTATCTTAATCTTCACTATCGTTACTTTTTGCCCAGCGAAGTGGGTCCTTGCAGCTAGATTCTAGATTACTTAGAAAAACAGTCTTTTATATATATAAAAAAAACTATATTACATACAAATAAAAACCCAGCAAAGTGGGTCCTTGCAGCTAGTATTGAATAAAATAAAACTACTAAACAGATCAAAAACTCAACCATTTTTGAGATATTAACAATTCTATATCACAGTATCATGACTGACTGAATTTTAGTTTGTATCATAACTGATGCTATGAAACTTTTGTAGTCCTTAGGATAATGTTTAAATTTCAAATTCCTTCATCTTGGAATGAAAACTTTAATATATAGAATATTTAAACTTTTGACTTAAGTGAGTAATTATTTAATCCTGGAGCATATGAATGATATATACAAAATACTACAAATTTCTTTTATTGAGAACAAATATAAATCCAATTCTTCAATAGCTATTCGTGTTAAAATATGTTTGCTATGCATACTATTTTTTTATTTTTTGATTAACTTACAGCATTAATAATCTAGCATTAAATGCTATGAAATTATAATTTTAATCCACACAACTTATTCCATATATTTCAATAGGTCTAAAATTAGAAGTCTATTTTTTTTGTTATGTTGCTATGAAATGATGTAGTAAATGTAGGAAGTAGATGAACAATAACCAGATGAAAAAATTTGCAGTTTTCTAATATGTATAATTTTTTGTGAACAAGAGAGGAATGAAGTTAAAACTTATTTATCCATTTCTAAGAAGTAATAAGTCTTCAAAATGCATCTTGACAAACAAGAAATAATTAAATAAAAGATATTGAAAGGTCAAGTGTTTTCTGAATACATTATTATTATTATTATTATTTATTTATTTATTTTTTAAAAGGAATTAAAGATTTGAAACATGGTTCCAAAGTAACCAAAGTTTATTTATCCATTGTTAAATTTCAATAAAATTAAAATACTTATTTCATAATCACTGATCATCATATGGTATTCTTATTTAGTTTTATTTGAATAAAGAATTAATATTAAAACTTTTAAATGTAAATACATTAGCCTGTAAGTATTTAAATATTCATTATACAAGCAGAAAGAAATTTACCACAGCAACAGCATTTGATGACAATACTTCACTTGATGTCAACACTGCAAAATATGCCACATTGGCTAGTACATATATGATTGTCACCATTGGTAAAGAAATATATATAGCACGGGGAAGATTTCTAGGAAAAAAATATATAATAATTAATCTGAATGTAAATTAATTAAGTGATAAAAAGTTTTATTAGTTTAATTCCTTTCAGTTTAATCATCAGAAAATTAGTACTAGTTACAATACTATTAATTTTCTTTACAGTTTATTGAATATTGGAAAGTAATCACACTTAAATTCCATTAAATCTTCATTATCATATTAGAAATTTTTTAACAGTATTTAAGTTGAATTCTAAAACTTTAAGATTTTGTTTTTCTTTATTTATTATAATGGCTAAAAATGAAAACATTGCTAATAATTCATACAATCACAAATACAAGAAAATCTTAACAAAATTTTTATGAATTTAGACGATATTTTGTTGTTTAATCTAAAAGCAATATTTATACTTAACACTAGATCTAACACTAGACACTATTTATATTTATACTAGACACTTTTTATATTTATATTTAACACTAGAGACTAGAGTAAATTTATTTTTATGTCACTATGTCATTGCATTGTATTAACATATAAATTAAAAACTCTCAAAAATTCTTCTGAAACTAAATGATAGGCTTAGCCATATTCCTGATATTTCATATAAAGTCAAACCTTGGTTTTTGAACATATTTGTTCCTAAAAATTGTTCTAAAACTGAAACAAATTTTTCCATAAGAAACAATACAAAACAGGTTAATTTGTTCCTGCCCCTAAAAGAAAGCCCTAAAGAATTTTTAGCATGAAATACAGCTAAAAAGGTAAAAACCTTTTTTAGCTGTATTTCATGCTAAAAATGCCTATAAATGCAATGTAATACTATATATAATATAATACTGTATTATATATAACACATTTTTATTATTTAATCTGACTTCAACATCTTTAAACACAAATTCTCACAAATTCTTGGATGCAATTTGTATTATGTGAATGTTAATTAACACGGTTTTTATTAAGCTGTTTCTTTGCAGACATACTAAGGTGACATATATCAACACTTGGCAACAGTTGCCAAGTGTTGATATATGTCACCTTAGTGTGTCTGCAAAGAAACAGCTTAATAACAACAACACGGTTTCATCAGAATCAAACAGTTTTTATTAATTAATTTGATTTAAATTCAACTGTTGCACATAATGAAAACAAAAGTAGTATCTTTCTCACATGCTCATTGAAATGTAATTTAAATAGCAACATTATTGATGATCCTTCTCATGACGTCTGATGACACAAGGCAATCTCAGTGCCACTAACTTCTGAATCAGTAGACCTGCCACTGATTGGTGAGGGCTGTGGACTATCTTTAACATACTACGCATTCTTTTATTCAGCAGTCCGCTGAGCAGTTGCTGCCGGAAATGACATTTTTGCTGCTGACAGTTGAAAACACTTTTGCTGGAGAAAGAGCTATCTCAAAATGGCTGATATAAACAATTATTTTCTTTCTGCTATACTTATGCGAATATTAGAAGAAAAGACATTAAGTTCGATGTTATTTACAAGAAAACAAGGAAATGATGATTTATTTATGGGATTGGAAATGATTGATTCCCAACAATGAGAAAAGCGTGCAAAAATTGTTGGTTACGTTCACAATATCGTACTGCAGTATTCCAATGAAATCTTTAAAAGCCATTTTTGTACGTCACAATTAAAAATCTGCTAATTTAAAACAGCAAACAACTGATTATTATTTGGTAATCGAAAAAGCTACTTTCTCATGGAGGTGTCCATCTTGTAAGCAATATTTTTAGCCTGGTCGGGAGGTGCTGCTAGTGCACTGAAAGCGCACCTTAAGAGCGCTGACAGTAGACTTAATAATTGAACACATGCGCTAAAAGTGCTGCAAGCATGCTGAATAAAAGAATGTGCGGATAGAAAGTATAGGGGGTTGTCTCTCTAATCCATGGTTGACTCTTGTCAAGTAGCTTGTTTGGTAACAATGTTATCATAGAGCAACTAGGAAAAATATGAGTTTGAAATACTGTTTGTAAACCATTTGTTTGAAAAGTGAGCTGTTCAAAAACTGAGGTTTGACTGTATATGTACTTAGTCAATCATATAAAATAAGTATAATGTATATAACACATCAATATTTAAAAATCATAATAGAATAAATTATTATTATTAGAATTAAATGCTGTATTTATACTAAATTACACGTAATTAACAGATTTTTTTATACATCTTAATTTTATTACCTGAATGGATTTTTCATTTCCTCAGTAACAAAGTTCAAATAATTCCTGAAATATATTTATTTATTTAAGAGTAATAATAATAATCACTGATCATCATATGGTATTCTTATTTAGTTTTATTTGAATAAAGAATTAATATTAAAACTTTTAAATGTAAATACATTAGCCTGTAAGTATTTAAATATTCATTATACAAGCAGAAAGAAATTTACCACAGCAACAGCATTTGATGACAATACTTCACTTGATGTCAACACTGCAAAATATGCCACATTGGCTAGTACATATATGATTGTCACCATTGGTAAAGAAATATATATAGCACGGGGAAGATTTCTAGGAAAAAAATATATAATAATTAATCTGAATGTAAATTAATTAAGTGATAAAAAGTTTTATTAGTTTAATTCCTTTCAGTTTAATCATCAGAAAATTAGTACTAGTTACAATACTATTAATTTTCTTTACAGTTTATTGAATATTGGAAAGTAATCACACTTAAATTCCATTAAATCTTCATTATCATATTAGAAATTTTTTAACAGTATTTAAGTTGAATTCTAAAACTTTAAGATTTTGTTTTTCTTTATTTATTATAATGGCTAAAAATGAAAACATTGCTAATAATTCATACAATCACAAATACAAGAAAATCTTAACAAAATTTTTATGAATTTANTATAAAATTAGTTACGCAAACAATTTAAAAATAATGATTATATTAAGGATTTACAAATGGAGTTAATCAATTTGGCCTGCAAACGGCTCATATAACATATCCTTTACCATTTTATTTACTGAAAGCTACAATAATGTTGACAAAATATATTAATCATCATGCAAATTGATTGAGATGACTTTCTTAAATTTCTTTGTTAAAAAAAGTAGTAAAATCTTTAATTTGAACTCACCACCCTGAATAAGAAAAAAGTCCAGAATAAAATGCAAGAGCAATATAACCTGGTTCAGTTGTGGTCCCTTCAAATGCTCTATCAAAATTTTGAAGGTTTCCTATATTCAAAAATATACACAATATAAAACACTTAAAATTCATAAACTAATATAAAATAAAAAATATTAAGTACACAATTTTCACAATATAATAAATAATTATATAATGAATATAAATTTTTAAAAACTATTTTTTTTTAATAATTACATGGAATTCTAATCAGAATACAATTAATATTCTAAACAAAGATATATATTATATTAATATATCTTTGTTTAGAAGCTAAGTAATTTGGTACTAGTACGAAATTACTTAGTATGAATATGCACAATTAATTATAGCATATTAATAGCTTAAGTATAGCAATAATTTGGCTTGATATCTAGGTTTTGGGAAGTTGTTATTTATGTCAGATAATTTAACAGTATTAAAAACATTAAAAAAATTGTAGTGTAATTTTCATAATTCAAATGTTTCTGTAACTTGATCTTCCTCAAAGAATGTAGTCTCTTGATCTTTTATGTGGAATTATTGTTGATATTGGTATTCTATTTGTTATTATAGTTTTTTAAATGTGATTAGAATGCTTTAATTATTAAATCAATCATTTTTGTATTTTTTAATAATTTTAACTTCTCTCTCCAGTTAGACATCAAAATTTTGTATTCATAAACAAACAACTCAAAGCCTGATATATTAGTAATAAGTCAAATGACTACCAGATTAAATCAAGCTACTTTTCTGTGATTATTTTTAATTCATTTCTAAATAATTTGTCATTAGATGGAGGCATTAGACACCATCTCTTATTAAATTTAATAATTACAATTAAATTAAATAATTTAAATATTCTGGAAGAAAAGAATCAGTCGAGAGAAAGACTTGCACTCACAAGTTTCACTTACCATGCATATGTATTGCCAGTTATGCTACCCAAGTTTCCAGACCAATTTCCTCTTCCAGACATTTAATTATGATATAATCATCCTCAGTTACTTACAGTAACAACTGGATGTCTTCACCATTTTCATCTTATAATCACCCACTTATGGCACTCAGCTGACCATCACTCAACCCCAGCATGGTGGAGTTGAGTGATGCATTATCTACATAATGCATTGAATGCACATTTTGTTCATTCATCTTTCAAATACTGACACACACACACACACACACACACACACACACAACAAAACTAATCATCAAGTTTTATTTTTGACAAGTAACATTTCACCAACACTTGTCAAATAATTACCTGTTTTCAAGTTTAAAACTACTAATAATTGCTTTTCAGAGCTTCTAACTATCTATTGGCAAAAACTACACAAACTTATTGACCAACCCAATACATGCAGATGCAAAGTATATTGATTAACAGAGTCATCACTTGGGTAATCTTGCTGCATAATAATAATGCATTTTGTTTTCAGTTTTGTGTTTCTTGTTGTGACAAGTGTACAGACATAAATAATTTCTTGTGGTAATATAATATTTTATTATATTTTAAATAGGGAAATAATTTAAGAAACAAGTGCAAAGAACAGAATGACATAATTCATAATTTTTTATATAATATGGGAAGAGTTTTTCTTTACAATGGTGAATGGAAAATGTGCATGTTATCACGTTATATATGCAAGTGTAGCTTGTCAAAAAAAAAAAAACGTTGAAAGACATTTTAAAAACATGCATGACAGTTTTGATAAAGATTATTTGTTAAACAACAAATTATGCAAACCAAAGTTAAAGGAATTTAATTCACAATTAACTGCCAACAATTATATTTTATTAAACCCAATATTTTATCTAACGCTGCAACAATTGCATTTTTTTTATGAGTAACTAGCTTACCCGTCACACATTGCTGCGATCTCAGAAGAAAAAAAATTCAAGCAAACTCGTTGTGATAAAATTCAATTTACATTTTATCATTTTTATTGAAACTTAGTTATTATTCATTTTCATCAGGAAAANCCCCGCGGGGAAATTTCAAAAAAATCCCTTCTTAGTGTGCATTGCCATCGCATATGCTACTAAAATGCAGATAAAAACAAAAAATCGCATCTAAAATAGTACAGTAGAAGCCGTTCTTCCGGTTAAGCCTTAATGCTCTCCCTCTCCCCCGCGGAGGAATTTCGAAAAATCCCTTCTTAGTGTACGTTTCCATGACGTACCCTAACTGTCTACCAAATTTTGTCTCTTTAGGTTAAATGGTCTGCTCTGGGCAATGATGAATCAGTGAGTGAGTGAGTCATTCATTCAGTCAGTCAAGACAAGCAATTTTATATATTTAGATAACTTTTTAAATTTATTCTCATTATTTTATTTTGCTTTTTCATTTTTTACTAATCTCTTATGTAGTCATTGCAATACAAACTAATAAGAGAATTATTACATCTCATTTATAATCAGTTCAATTTAGTTTAGCCATATATCCAAGTTATGTTTCTGTCATATTCACTTCATATCATTTCCTACTCCACAAACATACACAGCACATACCTACTGGATTAAGTTTTAAAAACAGCTATACAACTTTCACATTATTAATGACTGTGTACATTGAAGAAAGAACTTTCCTGAGGCATCATCATTTTAAAAATATTACACTCAGAATGTATACGAAAATAGATAGAACAATATTTCTTTTTATCAGTGACAATGTTTTTGTCTGTATAGTATAGCTATCGTATAATAAACATTTTGCTAAGATATAAAAATTCAGTCAGCTAATCTGTCTTATCAATTAAAAAGTTCTATAATAGGGGAAAGTAGTGTTGGGAGTAGCAGAAGCATTCTCAAAGAGTGATGTATGACTTTGGAGCAACAAGTTGCCAAACCATTCTAAACAAACAAAACTCATAAATCTGTAATTAGATACTGTCATTTAAAAAATATAAGCTATTAAATATAAAATGGCTTATTAAATAAAATGTGTAGATTAAACTAACAAAGATGGCAAAATTAATTTAGTTATCATAATTTTAAGTTAATATTTGAATATAGTTAAAACCTATTATCCATTTGTTGCCTATTACTATCTTTTTATTTTTAACATTATCTAAAAGAATTACCAACAACTTACCTTGATGATGCAAATATACCACCATTCAATCCTCCAAATGTTGAAAGAGCTACTGAAACAGGCATTATCCATGAAAATGCACCCAAAGTACGTTCACCAAATGTCTGTAATACATTACATGCATCATTTAAAATAATTCTCAAATATTTTTAATAAATATTTTTAAATATAAAAATTTTAAGATATACAGGAAGGTGCAAAAGCAGGTATACACTTATGGGGAAAAAAACATACAGGAAAAAACATTTTTATGTACAAATTAAATCACAAATAAATAAAAAGATAATAATAATAATAAACACCAAACATTTGTATTTCTCAGATTCTCAACTGTATACCTACTTTTGCACCCCATGTATTTTAAAATATTTTATTGTTTTGAGTTATAAATAATTAGCTTATAGATACTAAACAAAAAAATTATATTTTATATATCTCCCATCTACAGTGTGTTAAAAAGTATTCAGTATTTATATGGTAGATATTACACATATTATCTATTATATATTATTATATTATATATTAAAAATGGACGTGTGTCCCCCTATATTTCACTTTTCCGCAAAAACTACACATCGCACGTGAATGGTGTTTGTATGAGGTGGTAGCCCCAAGTCTCCATTCGTGCATAGGGTTGGTTGCATCTCGATAGCTATAAGGGTGCGGGAGATATGAGACTGAAAGTGGTTGAAAGTGGCTTTCTATTTTGAATGTTTTGTTCGAATTAAATTCGAACATAAAATTCGAATATTGGTTCGATTATAGAACGATTGTAAACATTCCAGAAACGTTGAAAATAGTTCGTTTGACTAAACGTAAAAATTCTCTAATTAGTCTGGAAACGGGGGACCTAATTCT